CCCCCTCCAGCCCAGGATGCAGGGGCCTGAGAAACCCACCTCCTCCCTCCCCGGCCACCCAGGCCCTGGCCCGGAATGGGGACAACGGCCATCCTGCTTCCACAGACAGGCCGGCCAGCGGGCGGTGGTCACCACAGTGCACACGGGTGCAAAGGCAATTCGCTGATGCCCTGGGCCCCCCACGTCCTCCCCAGGCCGCCAGCCCCCACACACCCGAGCGGGCTTTGTGCCGCCTGAGGACCCCATCCACTCGATGTCAGAATTCGGGCTGCACACGGCCTTCAGGACAAAGCTGGGCTGCCTGGCGGTGGGGGCGGCGTGGGCACCTGGAGGGTGGCCCCCATGGGTCGGGACGGAGCCAGGGGAGACGTGAACACAGGGGATCAGGGCCTGAGGAAGGGGACCAGCCCTCGGGAGTCCTGGAGTCAGCAAGGCGGCTCCTGGGGGAGCTGGGACCCTGTCCTGGTCACAGGAGACACACGCCACCTCACGGTTACCCTCTGGGCTTCCACCTGGGCCCAGAGGCCTCTGGGAAAGGTGCACTGGGGTGAATATGGGAGGGAGGGGGTGCTGAGGCCCCCAGTGTCCCCCCATCTTTCCCCTTTGGATGCACAGGCCGGGCCTACGCTGGGCGGCCTCACTGGCTTCTGCTCTTAGGGCTGTTCAGGCAGAGGGACCAGGAGGGAAACTGAGAGCCTGCAGGAACTCTGGGGGGAGGGGGGCGGGGGGAGAAGCCACAGGCCAAGGCCTTGCTCTGCAAGCAGGCTCAGCCTGCCCCTGGCCGGCCGGGAACAGGCCGCCCTCCCCCCCTCTCCCCGCAGCCTCCACGGAGCTGGGGGCTGCAGGCTGGAATGTGTTTACCTTTGGCCCAACCCGATTTCCTGCTTTTGAGCAAAGGGGCTTAGAGAGGCTGTTAGACAGGCCCTGGCCCCCCACCACCCGGCACTTTCAAAGTGCCCTGCTCTGAGTGAAGTGTCACGAGCAAACAGGGGCTTGAATTTCACTCCCCAACCCGCTGGCGGGTGGGGGCAGGGGCCGGGGCCAGGGCCGGGGCGGCAGGCTGGGAGTCTGGGGAGGCCCTGGGAGCATGGGTGAGGGGGCAGTGCCCGGGCGCCATGCTCTCCCCCCTGGGCCCCCAGCACAAAGCCCAGGTGCACACTGGACCCCCCAGGGCTGAGCTCCCAGGCCGCCCGGTTTCCAAACACAGGACCAGTGTCTGTGTGTCCCTGTGTCTGTGTGTTCACATGTGCCTCCATGTGTGCGCCCCTGTGTCCAAGAGCGTGTCCACATGTGTGTCTGTGCATGTCATGTGTGGCCCTGTGTGTTCGTGTGTGTGGCCCTGTGTAGTCACACATGTGTCCTGTGTTTCACTGTGTGTCCGTGTGTGTGTGTCCCCGTGGCCTGTGGACAGCCCTAATGCCCTGGTGCCCGGGGGGCGGGGCGGTATACACAGCCGTGTGGCTGTGGCCACGTGTGGGGGTCTCTGTTTGGGTCTCTAACCCGCTGTCCCGTCACGTGGAAGGAAGGCACGGACGTGGGTCCTGTCTGCTTGGGGAGTGAGTGCTCGGTGGGGCTGGCTGACTTTCGTGTGGCCCAGCCCCGTGGGGCCCAGTGTCCCGGGAGGGTGGACGTCAGCCTGGCCGTGTGGGCCTGGTGCTTGTGTGGGTTCACATCTGGGCCTGGATTGAATGGCCCCGGGGCCCACTTCCAGGCAGGGGAAGGGGAAGGGGGGGGCGGGTGGATTGGGACCCTGGTGCACCCCTGAGCGGGGACAACAAACGCCTAACAATGCGAAGGAAATGAAACCCTGTCCACAGGCCTGACCGAGGCCTGGTCTGGCTGCAGTCACCGAGAGTCCCAGCGCCCAGGGCCTGGCCCACCCCTGCTCCCCTCCCCCAGAGCTGCAGGGCGTCTGAGCTCCAAGGGAGGCCAGGGGGCCAGGGCCTCAGCCACGGGTTCGAGCCCCAACCAGGCGCAGGCCAGTCTCCTCCATCTCTCGCCTCTCCCTGGTTGCAGGGGCGTGTTTTACCCGACGAGCCCCAGAGAGCCAAGGTCCCCGAAGGGGAAATCGAAGGTTCTAGAAGGAGTGTAGCCAGCACTGGCCTCCGCTCGGGTCTCGCTGACCACGCTGGCCGAGGCCCAGGCCGCCCCATCCCTCCTTCCTGCCTCCCCTTCCCTCCTGCTCTGGACCTCTCCCCGCGGCACCTGGTGCCACGCCTGGCCCTCTTCCAGGTGGGGGGCCCGGGCCCCTTCCTGGAAGCCCACCTGCGGTTTGGTGTGCCATGAGATGAAAAAGGTTGAAAATCACTAATGTAGCACCATTTTTTTCATATCTAGTATTCATTTTAACTTCTCAATAGCTGTGTAACATGCCTAAGGTCCCAAACAATATCAGAGGCAGATAGGGAGCGGCAGACCGCAGGGTCCTGGGGGTGCAGGCCGCGGGCTCCCACGGTCTGCAGGAACACGTGCCTGGAGGTTGGGCCCGGTGGGAGCCGGGGCTGGAGCCAGATGGGGCAGGGGGTGGGGGCGGTAGACTAGGAGAAGCGGGACCAGGGCTCCCCCTGCACGGGCCCCCGGCGTTTGGGAGGGTGGGGGTGACGTGCTGCAGCAGCTTGGAGCCTGTGGGTCTGGTATGCAGCCCCGAGGGTGGGAGGAGGGAGGAAGGATGGTGGGAAGACCGTTCCCTGGGTTGGGGCCTGGACAAGGAGCAGAGGAAGAGGGGGGTCAGTGGTGGGATGCCTGGAACTGAGACCCGACTCGGGGCGTAGAGCTGCCTGGCAGGGCTGCCGAGCAGGACGGGAGGCACATATAGGGGAGCCAGGACCCGGCGGGGGAGAACGGACGTGCGGGCCTTGGGGGGCCATCTTGCAGAGGGTGCCACAGCAGATGGAGACATGGGGTGAAAGGGTGCTGGGGGACAGGGCTTGGGGGCCCCCGGCTGAGGGCGCGGGCGGGCCCAGCGCCTCCTTCCCTCCCTGCCCCCCCTGCTCTCACGTGCAGACAGTGGGGTGGGTGAGCCTGCAGGACATGGGGCCGGGGAAGAGGGGCCCTGGGTTTATTCAGGTGGCTTTCCGATCATGCCCTGTGTGTGCAGGGCCCGCAGCGCGGGAGAGGCACACAGAGCCCCCGACGGCGCCCCATTGGTTGGTGGTGATATCACCCCTGTGTCAACACCCCAGCAGTTGACAGCTTCCCGGCCAGGGTTTATGGAGCGGGACCGACCGCCGGCCTCCGCCCCACACCCCACACACTGGCCCACTGTTCTGGGGTCTGGGGGTGGAGGCCTGGCCACGGCGCCTTGGCGCTGCCTGTTCCGCAGCCCCCAGTCCCAGCACCCCCACCAGGAAGTGGGGTCCGCAGGCCTGGCCTCCACGCCTCCTCTCTGGGGAAGAGGCCTGGAGGGCCTGGGGCACAGGCGGGGGCTTTGTGGGGCAGAGTGCCCCTGGGGTGGGTCTCAGGCTGGAGGGTGGAGGGGGTCCCAGGGGGCCCTTCCACACAGTGGTCAGCCCTCTGCCGGCCTCAGGAAAGCCAGAAGAGCCCCCGCTTTCCGGCCCCTACGCTCTGGTCGACATCCGGGGCTGCAGGTCACTGGCCAGGCCTCCCTGCCTCCAGGACAGCGGGGGAGGCCCAGGGGGGCCAGGACAGGATGTGGCGGAGACCCTCGCTTCCCAGGGATGGGGCCTGGGAGGGGGCCCTCCTCAGAGGGCACGGGTTCTGCCAGGCTATGGAGGCCCCGGGGAGGCCGGCAGCGGGGGGCTTGGTGGTGGGAGCCAGCAGGGTATGCTCCCCGGGGCCACTCCCAACACGCACCCCCCCCACCCCCCAGCTGAGCAAGACCGCACTGGCCCGGGGTCTGCTGGGAAGTCTACCACCCTGAGGGTAGCCCCTTTCCGAGAGGGTCCTGGGGCCCAGGTGGGATCCATCAGATACAGAGGAAGCCTGGGCCAGAAGCCTGGAGGTGCCCCTCCAGGAACCCATCTCCTCGGGCAAAGGTTCTCAACCTGTGGGCCGCGACCCTTTCACAGGGGTCGCCTAGGACCATCGGAAAGCACATCTATAATTACATACTGTTTTTGTGACTAATCACTATGCTTTAATTATGTTCAATGTGTAACCATGAAATTGGGGGTCCCCACAACATGAGGAGCTGTATTAACGGGTTGGGCATTAGGAAGGTCCTGGGGCTCGGAACCCCTCAGGATGCCCCGAGCACGAGGGTCCC